CCTTCTAGTCTTACTGCCAAATTCTAATGAAAAGAGAGCTCAATTGTCTGCCCTCCTCCTTCTCTAATGATCACCAGTAACTTCTAGAAGAATTGCAGTTGACCTGAGGCGTATCCAGCAAAATGTTCGTGACTTGCATCTTAATTCACTCAGGGGCATCAACTGGTGGGGGGGGGTAGCCTCTGAGAGGGTCTTTTGTTTTCCCAGTGCTAATGACCACATTTCTTGCTAGTTGATTTGTTTTCCTCTGTAAAACTTTTGGAAAGTACTATAATGCCACATCTCTCCTTTCAAAGGGGTTCCTTTGAATGCCAGACATTTTTCTGCTCTGACATAATTTGATAACAATGAAAACATCAATTACTTCAATTGGTAACACTCCATAAAGTGGATTAAAAAAAACCTCCAACTCTTCCTTCCTGAATATGTGTGTATATATGTATGTGTGTGTGTGTATACATATACATACATACACATATGCATATATATATATATATTTTTTTTTAATTGGCTTGCATCTTAGATTGTCTCTGTTATCTTAAGTGAGTGAATCACAGAGAGGTTTTGGGTACATGATGGGTCCTAGATGTACACTCTTTGGAGAAGGCTTCTATAATGTATAAATATACCTCTTTTACTACTTGACCTATTCTGTTTTTAAGGTATTTTTTTCTACAGTATTTTTTGTGCCTCCTTTAACTGAGGTATTGACTCGTTTTTCATGATTTTTTTGCATCACTCTCATTTCTCTTCCCAATTTTTCTTCTACCTCCCTTACTTCATTTTAAAATCCTTTTTGAGCTCTTCCATGATCTGAGACCAATTCATATTTTTCTTGGAGACTTTGGATGTAGGAGTTTTGACTTTGCTATCTTCTTCTAAGTATGTGTTTTGATCTTCCTTGTCACCACAGTAACTTTCTATAGTCAGAATTTTTTTCTGTTTGCTTATTTTCCAGCCTATTTCTTGACTTTTCACTCTTTGCTAAAATGGGGCTCTGCTTCTAGGGTGGAGTGTACTCTGTCCCAAGCTTCAGCTGTTTTCAGAGATACTTCTAGGGACCTGTAAATTGTCAGTTCTTCCAAGGTGGTATGCTCTAAGGAGAGGTGTTTACTCCTCTCCTGGCCCGAGCTCTGGTCTGTGAGGGACCACAAGCACTATTTTCTGCCTTGGAACTGTGAGGAGGGTCCCACCTCCACTGTGGCTGCAAGATCTAGTGTGTTCCTCCTCACCCTGGGATTGCCACCCAGGACTGGGACCTAGATCTGAGTATGGGTAAAGCAACAGAGTCCTGTCCCCAGTGCCATCAAAGAGATCTCTGTAATCTCTTTTTGACCAGTTATTCCACCCCCTTACTGTCTGTGGTGCGAGAGCTCCAGAAGCAGCCATTGCCACAGCCACTGCTGATTCAGTCACTCCCAAGGCTTGCTCCTGGTTTGCCCGGCTCTGCCTTCACTGCACTCTCACCCAGGGCAACAGACCTTTCCTGCTGAACTTAGCTGTCTCTCCTCCATCTTAGCTCCACCCCCAATAGATAATTTTTAAGAAATGTTTGTGATTCCTGAAATAAACCTTCTTGATCTTCATACTACTTCTTTCCCTTGAGAGTCAGAGTTTCAAAATCACCTGATCTCTGACCTTTAAGGGAAAGAATTATTTTGATTAAACAAAACAAATATTAAATACACAAAGAATGTTTCCTCTACCTCCCTCCCTCTTTGCAGTCTGGCTTCTACCTCCCCCACTTTTCTTAAGGAGCACTGCAAAATATCACCATTGATCTCCTTATTGCCAAATCCTCTGACTTTTGGTCAGGTCTCATCTTCCTGACCCCTCTACAGCATTGGACTGAGTCACTCCCACGTCTGTGCTGCAAAATCTGCTCTGTTCCCAGATCAGTTCACTCGGGTGAACTCAAGCAAATTCCTTTATCTGTTAAATAAAGTTGCTAAACCAGGATGTCCTCTAAGGCTGATTCAAGTTCTAAATAATTTCTAATTCTATGATGTTGCTAGAGGAAGATTTGGATTCTGACACACATTTGCTACAAATAGGCTGACCTTGGAACTCTTAGCACTTAAGGAAGCCCTCTAAGACCGAAAAGGAGGTGTTTATTCCCCAACCTAGCGTTCCCAGTATCAAATACTTACAGCTCCAGTCCCTGTCCTGTCCCTAAGATGAAACAACTGATGATCCTACTCCTATTCTTCTGGCTAATCTCCTACTCTTCTGCTTCCTTTTTCTTGTTCCTCTTTCCAACCCCCTAAGAGAACTATTTCCCAAGGTTTTGTCCTTGACCCTATTTCCTTTCCTCTCTACACACACTTTCTCCCTTGACTATCTCATTCACCCCCATGGCTTCCACCATCACCTCAGTACAGATGACTGCACATGTCTAGCTCTGACCTTGGCTTTGAGTTCAACGTCTGTCGGGAGCTGAATCCTTATGGAAAATCTCTAAGTCCCTAGTGACTTAAGGGATCAGTACAGACAGAGGTTTGTCTCGGGACAAACGCTCCCTTGACTTTTACCCCACTTTCTGCTTGTTACAATTCTTTGGTTCCAAGTCCTTACTCTTGACTGAATTATTTGTAGACATGACTTTTACCCTACCAGCTCTGGAGGCAGGAGATTGACTCGAGGCAGACAATACTAAGAACTGAGAAGGAAAATAACAATAGCTATGGCATTTGGCACTGAAACTACTTTCCCTTGAGAAAAAGATGATCTTTAGCTGCTTAGTTTGTTTATGTTATTGAGAGGGCTTTGCAGAACTTGTAAATCATTTCTCATGATACCAAGTTGTTTTTCTATGAGTACATAATGAGAAAACTCCTGAAATAAACCAGTCTTAAGCATTAACCTCTAAGACTCGCCTAGCCCGGCTTTCCTTTCTTCTTTCGTTTCTCCACCGTCTCGCCCAGCATCCATGCCAGCTGCTGGCAAACGTCCACTTCTCCAACTGCATGAGGACATTTCCACCTGAATGTCTCCCTGGCACTGGCAAAATTCAAAATGTCTAACATTGAGCTTTGTTCTCTTCCCCTAAGCCTGCTCCTTCCTCTTTCTGACTCCATTATTTAGGTCAGTAGCAGCAATGTTCATTCAGATTCCCAAACCAAGGGTTATCTCTGCCCCTTTCCCTTCCCATGGCCCTCCTATGCAACTGGTTACCAAACCTTGCTGGTTCTATCTTCACAAATCCTGCCTTTTACCTGCTGCAAATGCATCCTCTTCCCTGAAGCTTTCCCAAACTCTTACTCCCCCTTGCCTTAGTCAGTAATAATCTTTTCCCTCTTGAACTTCCATAAATCTCTTTATTGTACACCTTTCTAATACACATATAGAACCAGAGTATTTAGAGTTAAAAGGGATCTTAGAGATAATCTAGTTCAACTTAATCCTTTTGCAGATAGGGAATCTGAGGCTCAGAGATAGGAAGGGATTTTTTTTTCCACTATGAAAAATGCCTTAATGGTGTTATCTGTACAGCATTTGACATCAAAGAACAGAAAAACAGCAAGTGCAGAACCTAGCGAGAAGTGAACATTGGAAAAACAAGTTTGTGAGTGAATGAAGAGTTCATACAGCTTTCAGCACAATATACAGAGTAATTCACAGCTTTATACCACCTCCTCTTCAGCCTCCTCCTCTGCGGTAGCATCCTGATACTGCTGATACTTAGAAACCAAATCATTCATGTTGCTTTCTGCTTCAGTGAATTCCATTTCATCCATGCCCTCACCAGCATACCAGTGTAAGAAAGCCTTTCTGGGAAACATGGCCGTAAACTGCTCACAAATGCGCTTAAAGACTTCTTAGATGGTGGTACTGTTACCAATGAAGGTGGCAGACATTTTTAGGCCCCACGGTGGGATGCCACAAATGGCTGTTTTCACATTATTGGGAATCCATTCAACAAAGAAACTGCTGTTCTTGTTTTGAACATTAAGCATTTGCTCATCTGTCTCCTTCATGGACATATGGCTTCTAAACATGGCTGCCACATATGACAGTACCCATACTGTGGGTCACAAGCAGCCATCATGTTCTTTGCATAAACATCTGCTGGGTGAGCTCTGGCATAGTTAAAGCACTGCACTGCTGGCTGCCACAGCTAGTCGGTGGAACGAAGCCAGGCATAAAGAAGTACAGACAGGAAAAAGGTACCGTGTTTGCTGCCAGTTTATGCAAGTCAGTGTTAAGCTGCCCTGGGAGACATAAGCAGGTGATGACTCCACTCACGGTTGCTGACACCAGGTGTTCAGATCACCATCCGTGGGAGTGGTCAGTTTCAGCAAAACCTATTGTATTGAGAATGAAGCCCTCTATGATATCATAGAGGGCTTCATTCTCAATACAATAGGTTTCATCTGCATTTTCTACAAGCTGGTGTACTGAGAGGGTCACATTGTAGTGTTCTACTACAGTGTATATTTTGTGTGTGTGTGTGTGTGTGTGTGTATACTACATATATACATACACACATATCTGTCTATCTATCTATCTATCTATCTATCTATCTATATTTGTGAATTGAACTGTCACTGGACAGAAATAGGAAGCTTCATCACAAGGAAGGAAAGTAACCCTGTACTCTATGTCATCTTTTTAAAGTCGAAACTCTACAATTTGACCCCCGTTTTGAGGAAGTGCCCAGACCAGCCAGCGTTCATTCCTCTCCTGGCTTCACTGGCCAACTCTGCCAGTCTTCATGACAATGCCTTAGATGCCTCCTCACCCTGGAAGAGCCTTCTAGCCCTGAAACCTCCTGCTCCTAGTGGTCAGTTCTTCCTGAAAGAAGGAGCTTCCATTTAGAGGAAGTAAGCTCACCATGAGCAGGGCACTTTGCTAAGTATTTAGTGACAGCTTATTGACTTAGCAATTGATATTGAAAAATTATCTAACTGGCAGGGGGATTTTTACCACCTTTCACGTTAGTATACTGCAGGTGATATCAGTTCTATAAGCCATAGATAATACAATGATAAATTACTAACCTTCTATGGAATGGTGAAAACTTTTGGCCCATTTTGCAAAGTGGGAAGATCCGCTTCCCGCCCAGGGGAAGCAAATCAGCTTAAAAGCTGCTCCAGGGTGTCGGTATAAGCAGTTCACAACATTTTCTGTCCTAGGGGAAATCATTAAAAATACATTAATTATCAAAGAAATCAAGATATTCACTTGTTTGTTGAACAAATCATCTCCTATCGATCCGATTTCCCAATAGAGGGTCTTATAAAGCGCAAAGTGTCCTCTTGCATCCTGACCCAGGTGCTGTTCCCTACAGAAGCCAGTTCAGCCCCTTCTCCTGCATTATGTCGGCTTTCGTCCCTCATGCCTAGAATGTTGCTCCTTCCCCATCTTCTTAGGCTCCCTACTTCCCTTCAAAGCTTAGTGCACAGGACACCTCTTACAAGAGGCTGTTTCTGATCTCCCCCAGCAACTAGGGCCTCTTTCCAAATTACCCCACATTTATTCTGTATTTACTTATGCTGCAAACTCTGAAAGGGCAAGGAGTGGTTCAGTTTTTGTCTTTGTCTCTCCAGCAAGTGGCGGCTAGGTGGCGCCATAGTGCTCGGCATACTGGACCTAGAGTCAGGAAGACATGAGCCTTAGCCAGCCATTAGATGTGTGACCCCCGGCAAGTCATTTAATCTTTGTCTCTCTCAGTTTCCTCATCTGTAAAATGGGGATGATAATAGCAACTATCGCCCAGAGTTGTGAGGATCAAATGAAATATATGTGAACTACTTACTACAGTGCCTCACACGTAGTGAGCGCTATATAAATGCTAGCTATTCTTATTTATGCTGTAGGTACTTAATTCTAGTTAAAAAAAAGAATCATCATCACAATTTCAAACTTTCCTTTTAAAGCAGAAGGCATCCTTGGGCATTTACCTTATCTTCCCCACCCCAAAATTAATTTGAGACCAATAAATGAATCAGACCATATGTACATTTTTAAGACTATCTTTTTTTTTTCAATGAAATCATTACTAGAATCTAGCGGACTGATTTCCAAACTTAAAAGGCAGTGAAGAATACTAGATTGGAAGTCAGGAGAGAGCTGGGTTGACTCCTGCCTCCAACATCTACTAGTTAATTGTGTGATGATGGCTTTCCGCGTACTTCAGCCTGTTCATCTGTAACATGGGGGCAGCACCTGCAGTCCCTACCTCATGGTTGTTGTAAGGCTAAAATGAGACGTATAAATGTTACTTATTATTGATAGTAATCATTACTAGTTATTATTTTCTTATTATTATCTCTCAATGCTGAATGAACTTAGATGGGGTTTTGTCCATTTCCAATTGAATCTATATCAAAGTTCAACACAAATTACTAAACTAAATATTTGAAGTTTCAGAATTGTGGCCTTTAGATCATGGAATAATATTCCTAGAAAACAATATACTGTTGTTTTCTCTTTAAACCAGGAAATCCTACTTTTAATCTGTTAATGGCATTTGAGCTCTTCCACCAGTGATTTAAAGAAAACCAGAGCTGTTGGTTTCTGGGACTCTTGGTTGTTGGCTCTTCACAGTATTAGGACATGTTGGGTATCAATGCAATTCAATTCTGTAGATTGCTTCATTCATCCTATTTGCACCCCTAGAGCCTAACATGGTGTCTGGCACCTCGCCTGTCCAACGAGAAAGAGCTTAACAAAAAACCAGTAGACTGATTGATTGACTCAATTCAATTCTGTGCAGCAAATATTTATTAAATGCCTACTGTGTACCAGGAACTGTGCTAGATGCTGGGCATATAAAGAAAAAAAAAAGCAATCCCTGCCTTCAAGGATCTTACATTCTACTAGAATAATATAAATTTGTTCAACAAGCATTTTGGCCACTTAGCTAGGATCAAATACAAACTCCTCTTCTGGCATTTAAAGACCTTTATAACCTGGCCCCAACCTACCTTTCTAGGACCTACAGATGACTCCTCTTCACATATTTTAAGATTCAGTCAAACTTGCCTCATTGTTTCTCATACACAGCATGCCATTTGCCATCCCACTGCATTTGTATTCCTGGACTATGCTCTCTCCTCATCTCTGACTCTTGGAACACTTAATTTCCTCCAAGGTTGGGCTCAAGTACCACCTTCTACATGGGGCCTTTGCTGATTCCACCCAATTATTAGTGCATTTTCCTGAAAAATCAATAATTTTGCTAAAAGCTGGAAAAAAAAAGAAATTGAAGAATAGGGTGCCCTCCTCCCTCCACTAACCATTCCTCTCCCCAATACACACACACACATACTCTGTGATCCAATGATACTGACTTCTTTGCTGGGCTTTGCACAACGGAACTCTATCTCCTGACTCTAGGCATTTTTACTTGCTTTTCCCCAGGCCTGGAAGGCTCTCCCTTCCCAGCTTGACCTCCCAACTTTTTTGGCTTCCATCAAATCTTAGGTAAAATCCCACTTTCTGCAAGAGGCCTTTCCTGATCCTTTTTAATACTAATGCCTTCCTTTTGTTGATTATTTCCAGCTTATCTTGCATAGACCTTATTTGTACAGATCTGTATATCTTATTCATACATATCTGTATATATCTTATTTGTTTACATGTTGTCATCCCCATTAGACTATAAACTCCCAGGGAGAAGAAATTAACTTTTATCTTTCTTGGTATCTGCAGAGCTTAGCAAAGGGCCTAGTACATAGTAATAAGTTAATAAATGATTGTTGACCATCTGACTCTACCTATCTCTGGACATATGTTTTCGCCAGCAGAATGTCAATTCTCTTAGAGCAGACTCTGGTATTTGTTTTATCTTTGTATACTCTGCGTCAGTGCAGTACCTTGCGTGTTGCTATTGAGTCTTTTCAGTCGTGTCTGACTTTTTGTGACCCCATTTGGGGTTTTCTAGGCAACTGGAGTGGTTTGTCATTTCCTTCTCCAGCTCATTGTACAGATGAGGCAAACAGGGTTAAGTGACTTGCCCAGGGTCACACAGCCAGTAAGTGTCTGAGGCCAGATTTAAACTCATGAAGATGAGTGTTCTCTCCACTGTGCCGCCTAGCTGCCCCACCTTCCACATAGCAGGGGCTTAATAAATGCTTGTTGGACTGGCTAGGATTGGATTAAACATGTTGAGTATTACCCTATCCCTGGTTTCTTCATGAAGCACTTTGATCATCTTTGAAACTGTTTAACAATTTACTTTCAAAATCAATTCAAGTGATAACATTCCACATAAAGCAAATACATTTTGGGTCATTGGATAATATTCTGATCTGCTCAGCCTGACTCCTTAGCACAGAACGTTGTGCTGAGACAATTTACACCTGTCTTTGCCATCTAGAAGAAACAGTGTCCTTGGAGTAACTGGAGTAGAAGTGCTTTGTTACATCTCAAGAAAAGAACAAGCGATAGTGCTGCGTGTAAAGAGATCTTCATTCACAATGGTCACCGACCCCATTTTCTCAACTGATTTGTTGCTCGCCATACTGTGCAGAATTGGTGGTCAGGGCAATGCCTACTTGGCACAGCAAACAGTGCACTCTGTCCCTCTTGCTTAACACCTTAGACACCACTGAAGAGACGGAATACTGTTCTGGATGCTCTTCCCATGGCTTCAACACCTACAAAAATAAGAAGTAGATTAGAAACCACATTAAAATAATTTTTTTTTCATAGCTATCCTCTGTTTTGACATCACCTTCATTTCCAGTTATATCCCTTTGCCCTCCCCCAGACAGCTATCCCCTGTAACAGAAAAAAAAAGGTGGCATTTCAGCTAAACTAACATAACCAACTATCAAGTCTGACAATATACGTAATATTTCTTTTTTTATTTTTTTGGTTAGGCAATGGGGTTAAGTGACTTGCCCAAGGTCACACAGCTAGTGTTATGTGTCTGAGGCTGCATTTGAACTCAGGTCCTCCTGACTTCAGGGCCGGTACTCTATCCACTGCGCCACCTAGCTGCCCCCAATATATGTAATATTTCACACCTGTAGTCCTCTACATCTTTATTTCCTCCTCTCTGCTTCAGGGCCAAGCTTGAACGTTATAATTATACATCATTCCGTTTCTTTTTTTTTTGTTTTGTCAAATAAAAAAAATAGAAAATTGGGGTGATATTGTGGATAAAGAGGTAGCCTCAGTCAGGAAGACCTGCTTTCAAGCGTGGCTTCTTAATCATGCCTAGGCTGCACCATCCTGGGCAAGTCACTAAAACTTCCACTGATTTAGTGCAACTATTTAAGATTGTAAATTGCAGAGTACTTGACAATATGCACTTCTTTACACAATCCTAGGTTCCCCTCCCTGCCCTCAACATACACATACACATAAAAAGGAATAAAATAAACTGTTCTACACAATAGATTATCACACTTGCAAAGTCCATAATTAATTTAAAATCTTTTGACAATTGATGAGGATCTCGAACAGGGTGGGAAACCTGTGGCCATAAGGCCATAAGGCCTCTAGGTCCTCAAGTATGGCCCTTTGACTGAATCCAAACTTTTATTAAGGGGATTTGTTCTGTGAAATTTGGAATCAGTCAAAGGGCTATACTTGAAGACCTAGAGGACCACATGTGGCCTAGAGGTCACAGGTTCCCCACCCTTGATCTAAAACCTACCCAATGTCTTCTCCTGGCAATATTCCTTATTCAGTTAAGGACACACAGAGACTGGTGAAGCTTCCAGGGTATTGGAAGACTGACAGAGGTGCTGTAGGTCAAGTCAAGGGTACATGTGGTGATGCTCTTTTTTATATTTAAAAAGCTAGCTGCTAAGTAATATTAGGTTATCCCCTCTAGCCCTTCCTCTTTATGTTATTATTTTTATTTGAAAATCTTCCATAATTAATGTTATTGCAACTAGATACCATTTTCCCCCAAGGCTCAACCCTATGCAACTAAGATGACTAGCTGAACAGCTCAACAACTACTCAAAGGTCACTCTCCAATAGTGTATAAAATGAGTGAGCCTGGAACTTCAGATGAATGAGAGAGCAGCCATAATCCTGCTCCTGCCTTAGTCAAGCTTGCCATTCTTTGTGAGGAAAACTCCAGGGCCCCTCCAGTGACTCAATTCATTTCAGATCATTCTGGTAGAATATCCTTTCCTAAACTGCAAGCCTCTGTTAATTGGCCTCTCTGCATACCTCTGCTGTTTTTTTTGTTTGTTTGTTTTTACTGCACGCCTCTGTGAAATTGTGACTGTGTGCCGCTTGGCCCTCTGTGTGCCTCTGTTGTTTTTTAAACTGCATGCCTCTGTAGAGCTGAAACTGCATGCTTCAGTAACCATGAGCCTCTCTATGGAGATTGTAACTGCCCTATCTGTGTCTGTTTGTATCTGCCTTTCATTTTGTCTGTGTTTGTGTCTTTGTAAAATGTAAAATGTCTGTGTTGTGTTTTTGTTGTAAGCTAGATTCTGTTACTCAGAAAGATTTAAAATGCAGCCAGCCAGAAAAAAACTTCTAAGGGCTATAGCCAGAGAGTTTAGAACACTGGGAGAAATTAATAAACTTTCATAGTTGAAGCAATTGTCCCAGGAAGCAGGATTAACTCCCACTTTACGCTTTCCAAGGGAGATTAGGTTATAAGAAAAGAAAAAGAAAAAATCTGCAAGACACTTTTTTTTCCTGTCATTTCAGCTTTGGCTATGTTGGTATTACAGAAATAAAGTCAGAAAATCAAAGTTTGTGGAACTACTAAAAAAATTTTAACAGATTAAAGAGCTTGAAGATTAATCATTTGAAGATTGCAAAGGAAAACTACTGGGACCTTGGGGTAATTCCAGGTACTCATTTCCTTCTGAAATATTTTAGTAAGTTTTGGGGTGCCATTCTGCAGACTTTGTTTTAAGGAAAACTAAGGATTAGATTTTATAAAAGTTTTAAAACTAAATGGCAAGATTAATAGTTTCATTATTCTAGGGCAATGAAGGAAGGCAGCTAGTGTGAAAGCAATCCTAGAGTGAATAAAGAAAAATATTGATAAACGGTTTGTACCTTATAGCAGATTCTTGATAACCTTTCCTTGAATTTCTGACCATGAAAAGAGAAAAGATTGTTGAAACCAAAGATCTCTTGTAACTCCCTCAGGTCAGAGATCCATTCTCTCTCCCTGTTAACCCCTCTCATCCCTGATCAGATCCTGAAATACAGATGTTGAAAAAATACGCTGGAAAAATGTAGGGAAGCATGAATTACATTCCAGTTGCAGAAATTTATTAGATGTATAATCTTAGGCAAGTTATCTTATCTCTATTTGCTCCAGTTTCTTGATCTGTAAAGAGAAAAATGATAATGGTAGCCACCTCCCAGGGTTGTTGTAACATCAAAATAATATAATGATTGTAAAGTGCTTAACACAGTGACTGGCATATGCTAAGTACTGCATTATTTATTTAATTGAATGTAATTGTTCCACACCTGACGAGTCAAAAGCGGTTTTAAAATGCCAGAGGTAATAAGATCAATGATTTTTATATGGGATAATTTGGAAATGCAATTGCTATCATTTGAAGTTTTGTTTCATATTCTAAATACATGATGTTGTTTATGTTATTATTGTAATTCTAAATTCTTTTATATTGTGAAAATTAAGAACCATTGCAACAGAAATGCTGTTAGGCAAAACAACTTTTTAATCTGGTTGCTGTTACACATGAATTGGGTTTCAAGAGGATGTCATAAATGTAGATATTTGAAAACTATTAAATATTTGATGAAGTATAATTTATTGTAAAGCAGATAATAGTAATACATAATAGCAAATTTTTATTTTAAAATCTTGGCTATTATGAAAGTGTATAGGATGGTTTAAAGATGTAGTTCAACATATTAATGATGAGTCACTAACAGGTAGTGGCTGTATGTCTGAAGCCCCAGAATATGAGTAGTTTTAATTTATAAGTAAAGGATAGATGAAATATTAACTGTTAAGGAAACATCAGGAAAGATACTCAAGCTCTAAATTGTGGTTAGTGAAATTTTGCTACTTATGGTAAAAATTTTGGGGACTGTAATATACTATTGTTTCGAGCTTTAATTACAGGGATAGTTGTCTGAATTTTCATAAAACCAATAGCAGAAAATGACATGTGCTGCAGTCTGGGAACTGCTAAAGGTGGATGTCTGTGCCTGGGAAAAGTTTTGGGGATGACTTTGGTATGGCCCAAGGTAGGATCCTCCTGACTCTATTTCCCTATTGTGTTATTTCATTTCTGAAAAGGAAATTTCCTCACCTGGCTAATCTTGAGCCTTGCTTTTGATACCCCATGACCATATAATTGGCTGTCATATATGACTCATGTCTGGAATCAAACAGAGCTAAGGGAGTTTTTCCTTCTATTACATTGTTGTAACTATGTCCTTCCTTTTCCTTTTATAGCAAATTTCTACAATTAAGAAGTTTTGTAAGCACAATACTAAATCTATTAAATAATAGATTGATACTGGAACATCTCTGAGTTACTATAATAGGATGCAAGTATGAACATCTTACAATTTTAACCAGTATTTGTGGTCAAATTATAATAGAGGAATGATATCCTCCTAATGGGGAAATTATTAGACAAAGTAATAAGACAAAGATGAATGTAAAAGTTTTCTAAATAAATGGAATGATAAATTTTGAGAAAGCAAGAGGATTATATGGTTGGCTTCCAAATTTATCTATCATAGAAATTCAGGCTTTGAGTACATTTTAGTAATAAGTTCTCAACATTGGATTAAGATTTTACACTATGATAATGGTGAAGAGAATGAAATTATTTTTTCTATTATTAAAGCATCTGTCTGATAATTTTAAAAGGCAGAAGACCTCATTTTATGGTTGGACCCTCATAATTAAAAAAAAATTCTTATATCAGGTACAGGATTTAGGTAAGGATAGAAACAGCAAATGATATATAAACTGAAATTCTCTGAAGTTTAAAAATTGGAGAACCAAATTTAAATGATATTACTAGCAGAATTATATAGGAACCTCTAGATTTGGAACCAGAAAAGCAGAGCCTCTTTTAGAGTGGTCCTGAGAATAAGCATATTGTCAAAGAAAAGATACAGAGGGACCAGATGACATGAGACACCTGGGACTCAAAATGTGCTGGTTAAATGGATATTGAGAATGGATCAGTAGAATATGAGACTTGATTTTAGTTGTGTTTATTTTTTCTTGGTTACCTTGGTGACATGTAACTCTCCCTTCTCAGAACTAGTCCATTGTGAGACCTCTAATGAGCTAGATCTGTATTTGACTTAATGTACTTATGCAGTTATGGTAATTGTGAGGAAAACTTTATTGCACTGTTTGAATCTAGCCCTGTGTTGCTGGGAAACTGGATCATTTCTATGTGCTGTTTAGAGCCTTACCTAAGGACCTATGTTATGCTGACTAGAAACTCAGATTCAAAGACTGATGCAAGGAATTCTCTCGAAGGGCTCCTACCAAGTCCTTCTGAATACTCCCCCAGCTGCCAAACTTGGCGCCAGGAGGCTCTTGGATCATCTGAAGAAAGGCCCTCCCCTAAGGGGATGGCAGAACCCTCCAGGGACCTTGAGGTTACTCTAGTATGGACCCAGAAGTA